AAGAAAAAATTGTTTAAATTTGTTTTTTTTTGAATTTAAACTTTTGAATTTAATTTATTTTTTAAAAAATAAAAAAATTTACCATAACTTGCAGCCCATAATATTGGTGTCCTACCATCAATATCACGTGCATTTACATTTGCGCCATATTTCAATAACATATGTAATATTGCTTCACAACGTTCTAATGAAATATCTTCTGCAGCTGCTATATAATGTACTGCTTGTGCACCCTGTAATAAAATTTAAATTTAAAAAAAAAAGAAATTCAAATAAATTTTATTTTATAAAAAAATTTTTGATTTAAATTTTAATAAGTTGTTTTTTTTAAAAAAATTTATTCATTTTTATAAATATGCATTCATTTATTTAGCCAATTAAAAAACTTTTGAGTTTAACAATTGAACTTTAACCTTTGAATTTAAACTTTTCTATTAATAATTCAATTGTGTTAGATAAATGCGAGCATATCACATAAATTGGATATAATTTATGCAAATATGTGTCAACTAATGTCATATTATTGATGTAATTATGATCGAATAAAACGTATATCTTACATAATTTGGTCTAGTTATGATCATGTAATTAATTAAATTGAAGTAGATATATGCTAATATTGTCAACAAATGTTACATTATTTGATCTATCTATGATTGGTTAAATAAATAAATTGATGGATTAAAAACTAAACTGTTAGATTAAATGTGAAATTATGATTAAAATGAGGAATTAAAATTAAATTAGTGAAAAAGTTAAATGAAATGATTGAAATTAGTAACACAATAGAATATTGTAAGAAAAAAAAATGAAAGTTTAAACGAAATTTTATGACAAACTTGATTGTCAGCAAAATCAACTTTAGCACCATTGTCCAACAATGTCACCAATGCTTCCAGCTAAAATTAAATTTTACCTTTTTTCTTTAATTTCTGTTTTATTATTAAATAATTAAGAAAATTTACTTTATTCTTGACTGACAAATGTCTTAATAATAATAATAATAATAATAATTAACAAATTAAATATAAAAGATCAGTTCCAAAGATCAATCTTATTGTTAAGGAAAAAAAAAATTCTGACAATTATCAATTAGTAATTCTATTAGTAAAATTAGTAATTATCGTACTAGTAAAGTTGATAAAATTGATAATTAGTAAACTTATTAGTGAAGATTCATTCTCATAATTAATGATCTTATCAGTGAAATTTCATAAGAATACTAATTAATATCCTTTAAAAAAAATTAATTGATATTCGTTCTTTCGATAATTTATTTATAAAAATATTGCCCAATGTATTAATTACGCTCAAAACTGTTACCAATAAGATTGATTTCATTAAATTAAACAATTATGATTAAAATCAAACAAACTTGTCCACAAGCAACAGCCCAATGTACAGCGGAATGCTTTTCCTTATCAATATGATTAATTTGAATACCATTTTCTATCAATAATTTTATCGCTGGTACATTTCCGCTCATTGATGCTATCAATAATGGTGTGTAACTGTAAGTATTATACAGTATGATAAAGGTATATTATTTTTTTTAAAAGGAAAAAAATGAAAAATATGATACAAATGATAAAACCATATGATAAGATTTAGATGAATTAATGTAATTATAATGTAAGTGATAAAACTGTATGATAAGTATGATAAGATTTAAATCAATATCAATCCAGTAAGTATAATGCAAATGATAAAAGTATATGATAAAATTTAGATGAATTAATGTAATTATAATTTAATGTAATTATAATGTAAGTGGTAAAACTGTATGATAAGTATGATAAGATTTAAATCAATATCAAACCAGTAAGTATAATGCGAATGACAATACTGTGTGATAATAATGATAAGATTTAAATGGATATTATTCTATTGAGTATAATGCAAGTGATAAAACTATATGATAAGATTTAAATGGATTGATGCAGAAGACAAAGTTCAAATGAATATTATAAGTGATTAAAGATTGATTATCGATTAATTGCATTATTTGATATAAATATAATTGCAATGAATATTTTAAAAATTAATTACAGTATTAATTAAAAACAATTTTAAGGAACCCATTTTGATCTTGACAGTGAATCAATGATTGATCCATTTCGAGAATTCGTTTAAATGTTTCCGCATCCGCTGTTTCAGCTGCATAATGTAATGCTATACGATCTTCGTTATCTCGACAAAAAATTTCACTCTAAAAACAAATTACAATAAATATGCAAATTATGCATTTTAACAAATAAATTTTATTTAAAAAAAAAAAACAGTAAAATGATGTAAACAATTATTTCTCTAATAATTTCCGCTTATCATATATTTGAATTTCTATTTTTAGGTATTTAATTAGGAATTAAAAAAATACACATTTATTAAAGAGGTCAAAATAAAATTTATTTTATTTGCACTGAAAATAGTTGAAAAAACAAAAATAGAAATTAAAATTCTTCATTTACAATTTATTCCAATTCATTTTAGCGTAAATAAATTTATAAAGTCATTGAAAAAAATTGTCCTAATTATTCCTTTTTTTTTCAAATTTTAAATTAAACTTGAACCTTTTCAATTCCGTATTTCTGAATAAAATTTAAAAATAAAATTAACTTACAGGAAATAAGTCAAGAATTCTGGCTGTACCAATCATATCTGATTTGTTTAAAGCACGTATAAGCGACATCTAAAATAATAAATTACAAAAGTTTCGCAATCTTCTCACAAAATTTTTGCTTATATTTATGAAATTTTAACAAATTTAAAAAAAGAAAAAACAAAATTATTATTTAAAAATTTCCACAAACTAAATCTATGTAATATGAAATTTAAGAAATTAAAACATTTTTTTGATTAAAATGTTGCAACAAAGACGCTTTAATTTTGGAATTATTTTAAATTTAAAAATACATTTGAAATACTTTTTGTAACTATTTGTGCAAAATATTTAACAATATATGCTTGAAAACAAAATAGAAATAATCAAATGATACAAAAAAGCAACAATAAAGAAGCTAACTAAAACTTTTACTATTTTGAAATTCGATTAGTTTTAATTAATTTATGTTATTTAAATAGGACTAGCTAATTAACAAACAAAAACTAGTAAAACCTTTTTTAAGTAATTAGTAAGAATTAATAAATTTGTAAAGGAAAAAATAAATTAGTAAAACCTGATTATAGCATTTTTTTTTTTTTTAATGCAATCATTAGCAATATAACAAGCAAAGAATAAGGTTTGTTTTTTTTCTTTTTTTTTTTTGGTAAAATTTATAATTTAATCTTAATAACGCTTTTTTCTAATTGCTAAATTTTTCGAGATATTTTTCAGATTGCATTTGAGGAACGAAAGTTTTTCAAATTTTGAACTTAAATTCAAAAACGAAATTTTGTAAATTTATTAATGAAATTTCAAAACATTCATTCAAAATATTTATTTTTCATTATGAATTATCTTTTGTTTCTAGAAACTTCATTTATTTATTTTTTTAATTTTGAATTTCTAGAATTTAATCATATAACAAAATTAAAGATTAGAATAAATTACAATAATTAGCTCTAAAATTATGCAATAAAAAATATTAGAAGCAAACATTATTACATTATTTTCCCTCCCTATCATGCTATCATTGTGTATAGAAACAACACTCTTACAAATTTCTATTTTATGCTTTAGTAATATTATAAATGATAACAAATTATACTAAATGTATTAGAACATTTCAAAAAAAAAAAAAAATTTTAAAATTTTTTAAAAATTTCATTTAATATTTGAATTGGTAATTTTTTAAATTACTACGTTAAATTTTAGTTTAAAAAAAACACCACTAATTTTGCTTTTTTTTTCTTTGTTTATTCAAATAATTAATGATAAAATAATGGATAAAATTTTAAATTAACAACACATGCAAATAGTGCATGCAAAATGCGTTACATTATACCGCGTTTGCGTTGCATTGCATTGCGTTGCTATGGAGCTTTTGCAATGAATTGTCAAATGTAATGTCACCCAACATATTATGAAAGCATTTTTAGGAAATCTAAATCATTTAGGTGGAATAATTTCATTCACGTGACAGCACTTTTTTTTTTTTTTTTTTGACAAAGTGCTTTTTAGTAAAATAGCTCTCTTTTCTTTTTTTTTT